TTACATTTTACAAATGGTGGGTAGCAACATTTTGCAGATTGGGTAAATAAGAAGTTAAAAAATACGTCCAAGTCCATAAAGTTAGAAGCAAGGATTCTTGTCCCAGGCTGACTCCAAATCTAACCAATGGAAATCTCAGAGCTGGTTTTGCAGGAAACTCATCCCCCACCCTTCCCCTAGGAAGGATAGCCTCACTGTCAGAACAAACCTCTCCAGAAACAGACATGTCCCCAGTACCTAAGTACAGAGAGTTAGCTTATGTGCCTGGGGCCTCTACAGGTTATATCAGAGGCAATGGCTTCCTACAACCCCTGACGTGGCCTCCTCCAGAGGGCAGAAGGCTGGGCAAAGAAGCAAGGTAGGTCTGCAAGACTTTGCCCAGAGGCCTCTAGGGGGCTGAACCCTAGAAGCAATGGAGTAAGAAGCCAAGCTAGTAAAGTTATAAGTCCATCCAGGTCTTCTGACCTTCCCATTACACTGTTCCCTTCTCTTTTCTCCTTTTAGTCCCACAAGCCCCACTCCTTAGCCTGTAACAACCAGAAAGGATCCAAGAATCTCACATTCCACCAAGCCAAGTTTTGCTTCTATCTGATAGCAACTCTTTCCTGCCAATGTCTCTTTGCATTTTCTTCTATCCCTTCAAAAATGATTTGTCCTGGGTCTTACCCTCTTGGAATCCTTGGCCAAAGGCACAGTTAAGTTTCTGATAAATAAAACTTTTGCTGAGGGATGAATGGCAAACTGCAGATCAATAGGGCGCCTTTCCAAAGGAGGTTTGCATTTAAAACAAGGAGCTCCATCATGCTTCATCCAAAAGAGTAAAACCCCAGTGGTAGAGCTTTTAAGTTGTAAACCCATTCACAGCTTCTGGTAAACAAGAAAATTAGGTATCTTGGCAGGGACAGGCTCAAAGTCTTCTGTGGGCAGAGGATGGGGATCATAGCACATATATGAACACATTCTCTGTGTACATATTAGCCTCCTGAAGGTCAAGTAAATAGACAACTGCCAGACAAAGAAAGGCAGTGGCTGCTGGGGTGTGTGCACGTGGGTGTGTGTGCACTGACATACATGTACGCTCGTACCAGGGAGGAAGGGCCTCCAACTGGCTTCCACTCTTCGCTTGTCATTTTTGAGATAAAAATGACAGCTGTTTGGTTTACACAGTTAATTAACCTGAGGAATGTGCTGTGTAAGACTGTTATTAAGGCAAGTGGGTAATTAAGTTTTCCCCCAGAAAGGGAGGGAATGAGGGATAGATAAAGCACGGAGGAGAGAAGACACCACGTTGGAGAAGAAAATGTCAGGGCTGGGATAAAACCTGCTGGTTCTTGAGGAGTGTGCACCAACCCAGAGACTGCGGAAGGACATGGCTCAGCCCCTGCCAGCACTCGCCCCAAGAGAGACAGCAGTGGGCCCTCGGGGTCACATGTGCAGCCCAGCTGTCTCTGAGAAGCAGCCAGAGTTTGCCAGACCTGAACAAATGGTAAAGGCTGACTAACCCAACTCCTGTGCTTCATACATGGAAAAATAGTGGTCTAGAGGGGAGCTGTGACTTTCACATCCCTACTCCTAGGAACTAGAGACACTTCACTGGCAGGCCAGGGCCACCTTGATAAGCATGAGAGCCTGTGGATTTTCCCACGGGCCACTGCAAATTACACTGGCAGCTGTCACATTGGGAAGCAGAGAGCAGAGCAGACAGAGGAGGGGTTGATTTCAGTGAGGTACACAAATGTGTGTCTTGAGCAGGAAAGAAGTGTCAGGAGTGTGATTTACAGGTAGGACAGCATCCACAGCAGACACAGCCACCAAGAGGCAGGGAGGACAGAGGGTGG